GTAGCCAGGGTCCCGTGTTTAAAGGTTCTGGTAATTAAGTAATCTTCAAGATTTGTGACGTCACACGATCAGAGTTTGCCAGGGTCCCACTACGGGGACCCTGGGTACACAAGGTTGTGACATCACAATATAGCACGTACAAAAGTACCACCCCTTTACCACTGTTACTTCTCTGAACAAATAATTGACACATTTGATTTGTCTGGTGATCAGTGTGGTCAGATTATAATTGACATAATATTATGCTAAAACCATATGAGGCTAAACACACATGGTATGTAAACTAACCCAATATTTTAAAACATCTTTGTGTTGGAAAAGAATAACAGGAAATGCGAGACATAATATCCGTAATGATATGTATAGTTGAATATTCATTTGGGGCAAAAATGACAGAATTTAGAAAAGGATGTTGATCTTTGTTTGAAACTCACGTGTTAAGGTATATGTCCAGATGAAAATGCCTTTTTTTACCAGGAAATACAATAGTTGTATCTTGAAGATGACCAGACTATCGAAGCAAATATAAAGCACAACATTATATAGACAGATAAAATTTTATTTTTACAGTAATAACTATAATTGGAACAACACGAGATATTAGTGTACAAATACTATAATTTAACATATATAATAACCAAATATTTTGTAAATTATAGCAATTTGTTTTACACCATCATTTAAATTACATCATTTAAATTAAAAACGTTTTAATACATACCGACACTTTTGTGGAAGCGTGACGTCTCGCTCGACCTTCAAGCCTGTACGGTTTAATAACCTCGTATGATTTTAAAGTTTTTAATAGTTCAGTATTGTGATTCAGTATATCTTCTGTCAACTTTGCATCTAAATAATTACAAACTTTATAAGTATATTTCGAATAATTCGAAATTTTACACTTTACCGTACCGGAGTAATGTCTCAATCAATTCCATTGCCCATCCCCTAGACTGCGAGCAATCCCTCTATTTTCCTTCGTTTTATTGTTTCCCGGACTAAGATTGAACGCGCGGGAAAATGCTAAGTGGAGACCGGCGTTTGTCGGGCATTCTCAACTGTAGTTGTTCCCAGCGTCGGGCATTTGCTTTCTGCAGGTTAGCCCCGGGGTGGGGAATTTGCTCGAAGGCCGAAGCTAAAAAGTCGAATATTTATTGCTTGTTTCGTTTACACGTGCGTGCGTATCGCAAATTAATCATGGCGAACATACACAAGACTTTTTTCTTGTCCAATGTCCATCCTGTTGATACATTGACTTACTTCCGCAGTTTGATATTGCTACATAAAGTTTTGAGACTTCAATATTTTAATTAAAAACGTTTTGAAACGAAATGGCTACAGAACGATTTTAAATACAGATATATTGATACGTGATAGAGCTTGGATTCGATTTTTTGGATCAGAAATCCTCAGAAAACTTATATTTTGTCCCCCAAGGGTGGGGCATTTGCGTCAATGTAAGTCCCCAAGGGTGGGGATTTTGTTGCATTATTTGGACCCCATACTGGGGCATTTGCAACGTTTTTTTCGCCAAAATGACAAAAGCCCGACAAACGCCCGGAGGGGGGCGGGGGGGGATGGGCAACCATGGAATTGATTGAGACATAATCATTGAAACATACGCCAATAAAAGAACGGAAAAACCGTCAGAACACGCATCAAATACTTGCGGAACGGGTGAAAACCAGTTGGCATAATATGCGAATAAATTCCTTCTAATATATTGTGATTTTTGAAGGGCCTCTGAAGCGACTCGTGCGTTCTTATATTGTGTCCGAAAAAGCGAAACATTTCGCTTGTAGTAACCAATGGGTAACAAGAAGCGAAACTTCTCGCTTCCATACAGCCAATGGGCAACAAGAAGCGAAATGTTTCGCTTCCATTCCCACAACACATATATATGCACTATTGTTGTGTTAGTAAAAGAAGCGAAACTTCTCGCTTCCATACAGACAATGGGCAACAAGAAGCGAAATGTTTCGCTTCCTTCCCTCAACACATATATGTGTACTATTGTTGTGTTAGTGTGTTAGTAAAAGAAGCGAAACTTCTCGCTTCCATACAGCCAATGGGCAACAAGAAGCGAAATGTTTCGCTTCCTTTCCACAACACATATATATGTACTATATACACGTTGTGTTAGTAAAAGAAGCGAAACTTCTCGCTTCCATACAACCAAGGGGCAACAAGAAGCGAAATGTTTCGCTTTCATTCCCACAACACCTATATATTAAGGTTGTCCCCCGAGCAAAGCGGAAAAGTCGAATACGAGCGCGAAAGGCTGCTGGGAATTGCTAATAAATTCATTCATTTATTAGCGATTCCCAGCAGCCTTTCGCGCTGGTATTCGACTTTTCCGCTTTGCTCGGGGGACAACCGTAATTGAAACAGCTGCATGTACAATATACCTTGTGTAAAGGTCCATACACGCCGGACGCGCGATTCGGTAACGCGACACGATTTTTTAGTTTATGAAAGTTAATAAAACAGCCAATGAGGGCAAATTTTTAATGATATGTAGACCAAATAACTCAAAATGTTACAGCGCTTCTAAATATTTGGGAAATTTAAACTATAAGATCAAAGTTAGCGTTCAGTCAAAATCGAAAAATCGCATACTGCATGTTGTGTGTTGGCCATTGTCTGTATGGAAGGAAGAAGTTTCGCTTCTTTTACTAACACAACGTATATTGTACCCTATATGTGTTGTGGGAAGGAAGCGAAACATTTCGCTTCTTGTTGCCCATTGGCTGTATGGAAGCGAGAAGTTTCGCTTCTTGTTCCCCATTGGTTACTACAAGCGAAATGTTTCGCTTTCTCGGACACAATATAAGAACGCACGAGTCGCTTCAAAAATCACAATATATTAGGAATTTATTCGCATATTATGCTTAATAATGCTTTCCCGTCTTACATCTCATTTTGTATTACGTTAATGGATAGTGTAGTCTTTTGTATAGTTTCCTATGTAATATTATAAAGTGCAATCAAACGAGGAGACTGGAGTGCATGATCGACACGCGACCTTCGTTTGATTGCTGTTCTTCTTGCTGTGAATGCTGTGCCAACACTAAATATGTATCATCAAAGTGTCAAACCTATATCTTGCTGATCTAGAGCTTGAAATATCCCCTGTAACAATTCGTGACTGCTAATTCCCATCAACTCCAATGCTCGTTTCAACAGAGCTGAAGTTATTTGCAATAATAAATAATAAATAATAAATATACGTATAGACAGTGTTCGCCTTTATTTAAAAAGATGAAATCAACTGCCAGTATACAGCAAGAATCAAATGTTTAAATGTAAAATTTACAAACTAAGATATTTCTAATATCCACTAAACACATCTAACAGCTCTTAGTTATGAAAGCAATCGACAAACATTCGCATTAATACGTTTATTTGGTTCATACAAAGTACACACATTATAATGAAAGGGAGGCAAACTACTACTCTCGTCTCACCTGTTTTAGCTCTTAAAATCATCACCAATAGAAAAATACACCCAACATATACAGTGGAGATAATCTCCATTGTTGTTAGAAAATATTTTGTAAAGATTGGTTATAAAATACTGGCAAATACAATACAGAGATGCTGCTGGATGTAGCCTGTAGGATGACAAATAGTGATGGGATGGGCGATACCGAGTACTCGGTATTCGATACAACAAACAGCGGTATCGGTATCGAATAGTGACTTGGTTGACATTAGCCTGTAAACACGACTGTCTTTGGTCACAGAGGAAGTATCTTTACTCTTTGCTTTGGGGGAAGAAAGAGGGGGGAAGAGAGTAGAGGTTGCCATGGTATCATTCGATCGTCAATCCCTATATTTGACTGTGGTCTGTAATACCATAGTTAGCTAGGTAATACAAATCTATACAAAAGTGGGGCCCCAGAATCGGGTGGCGGCCGGTCACTTCCGGCTTCACTTTTGTATACTATAGATGCGTTATCCAGTGATACCATTTATGCCATAGAACCACTGATGCCTCTGCAATGGAACCAATGCTATGCCAATGCATAGAACCCACGCTTGCCCGATTTTGGGGACCGCCTGCCATGTAGGCTAACGATCTTGGAGGGGAGACACTCTCCTCCGCAGAGCCTTACGAATTTTTAGTAAAATTGCGTAATATTAAGGGGGGGCGATTACGCATCGATCTCACCCCCCCCCCCCCCCCCCCCCCCCCCCCCCCCCCC